GATGTGTGTGTTCTTACCGCCGTTGGCTGTGTGCGCTGCTGTGATGGTTGCCGCCCTGTGGTGGTGGCGGGAGGCGTCGTAGTTGAGGTCTGCGACCGAGCAGCGCAACATGGGCCCTCGAAGTTCCCAGTCCATTCTCGCGTGGTACGCAGACCTGAGCACGCCCTAAAGTGGCACCAGCCAAGGCNGGGCCCTCGAAGTTCCCAGTCCAATCTCGCGTGGTACGCAGACCTGAGCATGCCCTAAAGTGGCACCAGCCAAGGCAGGTGTTGCACTTGACTGATGTCACATTACGGAATATCCTGGTCTGACATACCGTGCAGATTGTAGGGGGAACCAAGAGTTGTTGGCGGCGGCGTGTGGGTAGTGGTGCGGTTGCGTGTGTTATGTGGTCTGTCGTGGCGGTGGTATGGCCTGTGGTGTAATTATGTTGTTGTGCTGTGGTGACTGTGTGAGGCTCTCGGGTGGACTGAGGTTAGCCGTGGAGGCTGCTCTGTTTGAACAACAGGGGGCCAGGTACGACGTGGTCCACTGGCGATGTGTCCGTAGTCCTGAGCAGACTCTAAGGGGACTCCACCCCTTGCAGGCATTACACTTGACTGAGGTGGAGTTGTGGTGTAGTCGTCTCCGTCATACACAGCAGGTGTAGATTTCAGGCCCTGAGTTTGACTCGATGCCAGCCCGAGTANGTTGTGGTGTAGTCGTCTCCGTCATACACAGCAGGTGTAGATTTCAGGCCCTGAGTTTGACTCGATGCCAGCCCCGAGTAGAAGAATGTAGCCCTATAGACGAACAACTTCTGAGATACTTCGCCGACCTAAACGGGGTTAGATCGCCGAAACGACAGCCCCTGGTCGGGTAAAACCCGAGTCATTCCGGTGCGTAGAACCGGCTGTCGTGGGAATGTCGTACCCATCAGTGTCGTACCCATCAGTGTCGTACCTATCAGTGTCAGTGAAAAATATATCGTAGCCTCAGTCCCAAATAGAGTTGTTCGGACACTTTCGGCACAGTGCCGTTTCTTGTTGTTGTTGTTGTTGTAGCAGCATACAAATGCTCCAAAGACTTTTTGGGGAGTGTTGCTGGAGTGACAGTCCTTGGCCAGATATAAATCTGGGTCGTTCCGGTTACGTAGACCCGACTGTCGTGGGAACGTGCCGTTTCTTGTCGTCAGTGCTTCTTCAGTGTTCGTTCAGTAATTTTTTTATACACTAAAAACTGCATGTAAAACTACTACTGAAAAGTTTTTATTTTCACCCAAAATCTGTGTAAGTATACGTATAAGATTTTCATTTGGATTTTTGAACTGATGATTAATATATATACATGGAATGTTTAAAATTGCAAACGTTTGTAACGCAACATTTCCTACTAAAATAAAAATGGAGGTCATTTTATGTTTAATTTTGCTTTACGCGACAAATTTGTAAAAGTTAACAAAAATTTTTGCGGTTGACTGCTGACTGACGAAAACGAGCGGTCAAACAGGACAAATTTGAGCAAAACTATCGGTTTTGATCGCGAATGTGTACTACCCATTAAGATTCAAATAAATAACTATCGATATTTTAGTTAGTGCTTCTGCTGATTTTCCAGCTCATATGTTCCGTTCTCGGCAAATGTAAGATTAATAAGGTTATTCAATTTGCTATTAATGTCCTGTTGCTTAATTGAACTTCCTAAGGCTTTGCCTTTCAATTTAAATATACAACTTTGTGGAAATAGTGTATAGTCATATATCCTCGTGTCTTTCAGGTTCTGTTTTTGGCAAAGTGTGTAAGAGGTACAGCTATAGCTTTTGACTCTGGTGAGTGACCCAGCTACATGCGTATACTAATAGACGGCAATAATGCTATTTTTTCAGTAAAAGCGAAGTTCTTATTAGATTTGATATCAAGTTGTAACATAAGTTTTGACACGCTACTAATCGTGTTCTGCTGGACTTGTAAAAGGGACATTCTGTGTACAGATGTGATAACGTTGTGTCGAAATAGCTGAAGGCGTCCAAAGCGATTTTTTATTCCAATCGAAACACGGAAACTGCTTTTCAGAAAGGTCAAAAGCATAGACATTCGGTATGTATTAAACCATTTAATATAAATACATAGGGTGGGGTTTAGTAGCGCTCACAACTATTTCGGGCTATTCCGTCCAAAGGGGTGGCCCGATCCAAAAAAAATTCCACACCCTTGTAGTCAAGGATCCACGCATTATTTTAACACTCACTTTTGTAAATTTTGGTCACTAATTTATTTACAAATTGGGTTTGAAATATGCCCTTTTTTGTAAAATTCGGAAATTGCGTACATTTATCACTCCTATTCTCCTTAAAGCACCCACTTCACCAATATACTTTTGTATTCCCCTTCACTTTACACTTTACTCGATTAGTTATTACTTTCTTTACGACTTTAATATTAACCAGTTAATCACAATTCATTAAATAAAAACACCTTTAAAATCACGCGTGGTTGCATATGCAAATTAAATGGCGGAGTTCAGTTGTCAAACTCAAACAAAAGAAGGTAAAATATAACCCAGTAAGCAATAAAAATATACAAAGGTGTTCTCTGCAAAAGGTGTTCAGCTCCTTTTCTTCGCAAAACAGAAAGGAGAATTCTATTGCCTGAGGGTTATAATGCCTAAGTGCGGCCGAAGGCGGCCTACGCAGAAAGGTGTTCTCTGTAAAAGGTGTTCAGCCTCCCTTCTTTGGCTACACAGAAAAGAGAATTCTACTGCCTGAGGGTTATAATCCCTAAGTGCGGCCGAAGGCCGCCTACGCAGAAAGGTGTTCTCTGTAAAAGGTGTTCAGCCTCCCTTCTTTGGCAGCACAGAAAGGAGAATTCTACTGTCTGAGGGTTATAATCCCCAAGTGCAGCCGAAGGCCGCCTACGCAGAAAAAATTCTACGCAAAAATACATTTGTTAAAGAGAATATTTTTTTTATATAAACTTGTTTTTTCTATTTTTAATTAACTTTTTTATTCTTTATTCAAAATTGCCCGATATCTAATTTGGCATAATTTCTTTTATTAAAAAATCGCACGGTTTCTGTTAGTTGGGTCATATTCCACTTCAAACTGCTCAGTTTGCCAAAGAAAATTCCGTTTTTCCCCCTTTTTCAAACGGTTCCCTAGGGGCCTGTGGGAGGAGCCCAAGGGGGGATACGCCTTTTTAGAAAGCGGGGACGGTCCCCTTTCTAGTGGGGCGGTTTGAGGGGCACCGCCCCCTCCCCCTCCGCCCACCACCCCAAAAACGATGTGAGCGCTACTAAACATTTCCCAATACATATGTAAAAATGCAGTTACATATTTTGTTTTGGCTTTATTGACATGTGTGTGTTAGCAGAACTATCAAGAATTTTCTCAGGAAACTGTTAAGGGTATGTTGGGGTGCCAGGGTAAAGTTTGCTTATTTGTACAAAGAGAGGTGGGGAAAGGGGGAGGGGGCTTGGCCCCCCAAACCCACCTTAAAGGAAAGAGGATAGACGGCGCTTTATGAAAGTCATCCCTCCCCCTAACCCTACAGACCTCTTGGGAAGCTGTTTGAAAATTGAGGAAATTTTGAATTTTCCAAAAGGATTTCCCTCACTTCTTTCTATGTTGCCGAAGAATTTTTTAATAGAAATATACAGTATCGGTCATATCTATAGCACGCCATTTCAAAGTGATATTGTGTGCCACTTATGCTTATTTATTTATTTTTAAGAATTTTCAATTAAAATACAGTTCTTTCTCTAACAAACCCCATATAAACCCAAGTTTAACAATTTGTAGAAAACTTCAAAAAAGTGCAACAAATTTTCACCTAAATTTCAATCTTTTTTTTCGGAAGTATTAGAATTTTTCTGAATACACAGTTTTATAGCCCAATCAATTTTAGTCTGATAATGTGCAAGTTTGAAGTGACTGAAAGTTACCGTTGATTTTTTATAATTTTTTTCGCCAAAGGTGTTGCGGTTTTCATCCGTATACAAATAAATTGAGTTTATTCATTATGTGAACGCCAATGCGACAAAAAGAAATTCTAAAAAATTAACGGTAATTCGTAGCCACTTGAAATTTCACATTATCAGACTAAAATTGCAGTGGCTAAAAAACTGCGTACTCAAAAAAATTCTAACACTTCCGAGAAAGAAGTTTGAAACTTAGGTGAAAATTTGTTGACATTTTTTGAAGTTTTCTACAAATTGTTAAACTTGGGTTTATATGGGGTTTGTTAGAGAAAGAACTGTATTTTAATTGAAAATTCTTAAAAATAAATAAATAAGCATAAGTGGCACACAATATCATTTGAAATGGCGTGCTATGGATATGACCGATACTGTAGGTAATTTTCTAATAGATATAGGGCTGCAACTGCTAAAAAAAGGTGCGGAAAAGTCGGGGGCCAGGGAGAGGGGGTACCAAACGGCGCGTTTCGGTCCCCCTATTAACAATCCGGAGGGGGGCTAATATTATTAACCATTTAAAAGTTATAAACAAAAAACTTTTGTTAAATATCATTGTTTTCCATGGGCAATTACCTGGTCAAAAATGCACTAAATCACCGGTTTCCACTTTTAAAACACTATTACTATTGAATTGCCTGCAATAGATGTCAAGCAATAAGCGCTGACATATATTGAAGCCCATGAGAAATAGGCGGTCTCCATTGGAAATATATTTTGTGACATGGTTATCTCGACGTCAGTGTTTTCCTGTGGAGACAGGGCCTAATAATTAATTTTTCCTTACAAGGCGTTTGCAGTGTTCAGGGGTTTTCTGTATTGTTACCAACAACTTTATATATCAACGTTATACATATTTAACTGATTTTGGTCAAAGTGCACTTTAGCGGAACCAGGAACCATTTAGGGATTATAACTCTCAGGCAGTAAAGAGAATTCTCCTTTCTGTGTTGCCAAAGAAGGGGGGGCTGAACAACTTTTGCAGAGAACAACTTTCATTTACTCCATTTATTTGCATCAAATTCATCTAAACATGGTGCGAAAAGTGCAAAGTGCAAGTGGTTTTTGCGAATAACTCTTAAATTAATTAAAAATTTTAATCCCCTCCTGATTTTTATTGAACCGCATATATATATAAATTTGACCGTCAAATCTTATTCCCCCGGATTGTTATTGTTCGTGTTAAAACGCGTCGATTGATACCACTCTCGATTTGTTCCGTCCATTTTGACTTGGTTCCCGTAAAGTGCACTACTACCCTGATTTTTAAGTGAACCGCATATATATATAAATTTGACCGTCAAATCTTATTCCCCCGGATTGTTATTGTTCGTGTTAAAACGCGTCGATTGATACCACTCTCGATTTGTTCCGTCCATTTTGACTTGGTTCCCGTAAAGTGCACTACTACCCTGATTTTTAAGTGAACCGCATATATATATAAATTTGACCGTCAAATTTATATATATATGCGGTTCACTTAAAAATCAGTTAAATATACAGGGTAATAAACAAAAACTTTCAGTTAAAATGTCACAGTTTTTGAAATATTTAAATTTTTTGAATAAAAAGGAATTGTGCCTTTTCATGTATTTTCTTTAACTGCATCTACAAACCAGGCTACACTTAGTAAATTTTTTATGTAAAATACTTCCAGATAGTTGCTTCTCCATANTTTCTTTAACTGCAACTACAAACCGGGCAATACTTAGTAAATTTTTTATGTAAAATACTTCCAGATAGTTGCTTCTCCATACTCAAATGCTATGTAGTTAAAATATATTAACGAACCATCATAAATGTAGTACTATTTTGGGATTTTTACATTTTTGATATTTTCTTCCCCAACTTTGACTTCTGGTGAAAAAATGTACTGAGCTATAACTTTACATTACATAAAAAAATTGCTCATTTAATAAAGATTTCAGAAAGGTGCCACTCTTACTGTTTTGAATAGAAAAAAAAAGTTAAAGTCGCTTTTGTGGGCAAAGGACTGAGACACGCTAAAATGTATTTAATAGATTTAAATTTAAGTTGCTCTTGTTACCGACCAATGACATGCTAAATAGTACAAAGGTACATTATTACCTGCTCCTGACATTTTATGTTACTTGCCGGAATTAGTGAAAGTGGATTTTGTGAAATTGGATCCTTCGAACATTGTGTTATTAATACTATGACAGAGAACACGCAGTATACGTCGCATGAATATGCGGATATTCACCTAATTTACGGTGAAGCTTGCTGTAATGCCAGAGCTGCTCAAAGACTATGCATAGAGGTACTCAAATCGTCGGCATCCGGGTCGTGAGGTATTATTTCTTGTTTGAAGCCATTCTTCTTTTAACTATCATTTTTGACTTTTTTAAGGTCGCATACCTTGAGAGGAAGTGGACCTAGGTCCATCGACTTCAGGGAGAATGATGGAAAGACGGACTGGAATACCAAAAACTACAGTTCACAAAGCTTTAAAATACCATCCCTACCACATTTAACGTGTTCAGGCTCTACAAGAGAGAGATTACCTGTGGAGGGGTAGATTTTGCAGTGAAATGTTGGGAATGCATGATTCAGACGCCAACTTTTTTAATAAAATAATTTTGGGCGATGAATCATCATGCAAACGTGATGGTTATTTTAATTTACATCACCTACACAGTTGGCAGATAGACAATTCTCACGAAATGAGATAAGATTGTTCGCAGTACCAGTGCAAAATAAATTTATGGTGCGGTATTTTTAATTTATTTTTATTTATTTATTTATTTATTTAAACGCCAATCGGCTTTGTACATAACTAAATTATTGACTAAAAAAGTAATAACAAACGTGTGTGGTTGGTCGCTTTAACAGAAAAAACAAAACGGAATGAAATGACATTGCAATGTAACATATAATTCAGAGAATTGATTTTAATTTATATTTTAAGCTAGAGTGAGACCCTCCAAAGAAATTTACATTCGGTGCATGTTGGTTGACAAGGTTCGCTATCCTGTTGTACGGACCAAAGGCGACGTAGTTTCTATTTGCCTGCACAACATCTAGTAGCCTTCTAGTTCGGAGATCGGCTCTAGAGGTAATAAATCTGAACTGCTCCAGTATTTCTGGTGAGTCAATCAGGCCATTG